TGAGGAATCGCCACACTGTCTTCCACAATGGTTGAACTAATTTACACTCCCACCAACAGTGTAAAAGTGTTCCTATTTCTCCATATCCTCTCCAGCATCTGTTGTCTCCAGATTTATTAATGATCACCATTCTAACTGGCGTGAGATGTTATCTCAATGTAGTTTTGATTTGCCTTTCTGTAATGACCAGTGATGATGAGCATTTTTTCATATGTTTGTTGGCTTTATATATGAGGCTGCCAAATCTTAATCAGATTATATCCTTCAGTTGATTAAACCCTCAGTCACCATTTTACTCAGGCTATAGTCCCAAATTTGTCATGTGATGTTCATGGTCCTATGTGGTCTAGCCCTTGTTCATTTCCACCTGCCTCCCATGCCACTCCTGTCGCCTGGCTCACCAGCTTCCAGCCACACTGGGCTTCTCTTCCTCCTTCCCCACATGACAAAGGGCTTCCCACTTGCTGCTCCCTTTGCCTGGAGTGCTGGTCCTTCTCTTCACCTGGTAACACCTAGCCATCACAGAGGTCTCGGTTTAAATGTTACTTTCTCAGAGAAGCCTTCCCCTGACCCACCAAACAAAATCAGTTTCCCTCATGTTCACCTTTCAGCAAACTCTTAATTAACAATCAGTTTATACTGCTGTATTTATCTGTGTGATGTTTGTTTATCACTGGCCCTCTCCATTAGTCTGTAAGTCTAGTGAAGCCAGGAACCATGCCCATTTGACTCATTGCTGGTTTCCATCTCTAGCTCAGTGTTTGGCACATAGTATCTACTCAGTAAACATTTGTGGGCCAAGTAAGTAAATGACTCCATGTTGGTGGTACATAGCTTCTTTTCCAGTTCTCTATTAAATTAGCGAATAATCAGAATCTATATAGATTTTTCTTCGTTTTCTCAGAACAAGCATGTAGAAATGAAATTTTGATACTTTAATAATTTAAGTAAGTTTTACAAAATTATCAGGAGAAAAGTTCAGAAACATAGATTACCCAAGGAAACAGAAGAATCTCCTGCCTTTGAGGTTTCATCAGAGGATGATTCAGTTAAGTTTGAGCTCTATTGCTATGTATAGGCTATGAGAACGACAAGATTCATTCCGTAGAACCAGGCTTAAGGGAGAAACACCTTTCTTTCTGTTTATGTGTTTGATTATTTGTCTAGAACTTAACTCTTTGCTTGTGTCCAAATAGAAAAAGTACTTTGGAATTCCACTCTTGATTCGGACTTCTTTTTCTTCACCATGATGTCCAGAAAACTCTGCTATAACATGTGTGTCCCTCAAAATTACTGCAGTCTTTAAAACCACACAGTGGAAACGACAAGGCTTAAGGGGGAAATGGGACTATGGGAATAATACTGAAAATTTTATTTTGACACAGTAAAAACAAAAAGGTAGGAACCTAATACCTAATAAACATTGTGCTTTACCTTGAAAAAGTTTCTTGTGGAAGTGGATATCAAACGGGATGCAGCTCAGAGGTTACTGTGAAATGGTGGAAGGAATGCTGTCTGAAATTAGAGGGAAAGTTGTAACACCACATGTGGATGGGTATGGCTCGTAATGCACATGGTAGACTGAGGTCTATTTGAAATACGTGTGTTTTGTCTGTTTCGATGCAGTTCAGCTGAGTGCAGTTTTCTGTGTTCACCTAATTTTTCTCATGAATGAAATCAGGCAATCAGCAAACCTAAGATTTGTGTCATGCTCAAATTTTTTTGTAGCATATCATTAGCTGCATTAGAACAAATTAGTGCCTTTAAAAGAAATGTTACAGTAGAACTGACAGTAGTAGGGGAAAAAAGTGGGAGACTTAGGGTCAGAAAAACTCAGTTCTAGTCCCAGAGCTGTTATGTCTAACCATGGAACCAGAGTAAGCTCCCTTTCTCTCTTTCAGCCCCCACCCTTATCTTTAGATGCAGGTGATAATAACCAATATTGCTGAATTGTTCTGGAAACTGAATACAGTAATGAAGGTGGACACATTTTGTAAAATGTAAAATATTCTCCAGATTGAAGATATTCTTTGCAGAGTTTGCTCATTTCAGAGTTAGAGACAGCAGCTAACGAAGAACAGAGTAGCAAGTTAACCTGTTCACAGCTTTTGTTCAGAAAAATAGGCAAACCTACCTTTTTACTAATAACAAAGCTCACCTCTTTAAAGGGAAAAAAGAGCCTGTGACTGGCAAATTTTGTTGAACATGTGTTTAATGTCACTGCTTAGACTCAGCCTTTGAGCTGTTGTTTGTGTTCCTGGTGCAGCGATTTGAGAGCTTTGGTAAGAGAAGCCAAGAGAAAGGGAAGAGGTAAAGAACCTGGAACATCTTGCTCAAAGAACATGGGAGGAATTGAAAGGTGGTGATTGACGGGCTTTGGAAATCATCATGAGGTTTTCCTAGGCAGGTGTCTTAAAACCATTCCAGGCTTGTGGCTCTGTGGAAAGAGAGCTGTTGCTCTAGAAATGTGGTCCTGTCAGATTTGTGACCCAGATTTCCATGGGATTTTCTTCTGCTTACTGCTCTTCAGTACCTAGTGGTGGTGTGTAAATAACACCAGCTGTTCTCCATCCCTCATTGCCTTTCACACTTTCTGCTGTGAAAGATCCAGAACAAACATTTGGGAGACAAATTAAAATTACTTTGGAGACAGATCAATTTATATCCAGAATATAGCAAATATAGAAATTTAAAAAAAAAAAAACCTAGCCAATCTAGTGATACTGGATTTTTTCCATCTTTAGCCATAGTCTCAAATTCAGGAACAAAGCTTTTTCATATTTAGAAAGTAGGTATGGATTACTGTCAAGTTTTCATTAATTTATGGAAATACACCTCATTTAAAGGGAATATATTTTAGTAAACAGCTTTTGCCCTCATAGTCTTAATTCCCTACATTTTCTCTGAGTTACCAGGATTTTTTTTTAATGCTTTTTTTTTTTTCATGTTTGAAAAGGCATACATATATTAAAAAGAAAAGATTATTTGTGTGGAAAAGGTTATCTCATAATCCTATTTTTGATACTCTTTAATATGGAAGTGAGTGAATCTATACAGCATTCTGTACTTTTGAAGGGAAGAGGGATGCTGTTTTCTCTGCAAAATGTCACATTCTTTATAGCATGTGCTTTTGAACTATTTAGTGTACTTTTTTTTTTTGGCCCCTTTGTTTTTGGAATTGAAGCACTGTCTTCCAAATTCTGTATTGTTGGTGACTTGTCCGTGCTTGTTTTAATCTAATCAGTCAATACAAAGAGGAATGTCAATTGTCTATGTAACTGTAAAGAGTTTATTATAGTAAAATATATATAACATAAAATTTGCCATTTTGACCATTTCTGTAAAGAGTTAGCTTTAACCCGTTTGTCTTCCACAACCACATTTTTATTTCTTTCCAAATCTAAAATGTCATTTTCCAAAGTAACAGGATAAGGATTTGATTTTAATTTTGATTTTAGTTTTTCTAATTTCAGTAAAAGTAACTGATTGTGGGGTTAAAAGTAGACCATCAAAAAGTCAGGTCTTACTTAGCAAAAGGCCAGCTTCAGAATCAATAAGCAAATATATTTCCAGCACTACCATATATTAGATAATGTACTAAAAATGTAAAATATATCTGCACATAAGCATGGTCCTAATCTGGAACAAATATTTTGGTAGAGAATTATGATAAATTCACATGAAAAATAATAGTAGAAAGTAAAAGTGAAAACCTAAAGGGTGGTAAAGATGGTAGGTGCTGTTGGAATTCAGGGAAGGGAGGAAATGAAGTGATGGGGGACAAGTTTTAGAGGACATGGCTTAAAGCTGAACCTGGAAGGAACCCTAGGTTTTCAATGGATTGACCTGGGAGCTTTTACTCAGGAACAAAGGTGCAGAGGCAGGGGGACGTGTAAGCACTTTTAGAGGATCAGAATTCATGTCTAGATTCTAGCCTAATGTTTCTTTCACGGTCCTCAGAATGCCTTTTTTCTCATGAGTTAGAGCTGGAGAAAATCTGTCTTTGCTATCACTTCCTGTGACTATGCCCCACACGATGAATCATATTTAATCCTGAGTAGTGCATGGTACACAGTCATAGTGTTTGGTTTATTTCAAAGCAGAGGTCCCTGTTTCTCTTCTCTCCTTCTAAGTATGTATGTCCCTCACGATCAGACATTGCATCTGTGGTTTTCATCATAGAGCATATATCCTGTGTACAAAGTGCTCAGTTTAGTAACAGCAGTAAAAATAACAGCACGGCATGCTTTTTTAAAAGGCAATAACAACAACAAAACAAAAACAAAACAAAGACATTAGCGTCGCTGACTCAGTGCTATCGGGAGGATCTGAGCTGTGTGCTTTTTACCAGTTCCAGGAATGAGTTTGTGCTGAACCATCCATTCTGTGTCATCCAGTTCCTCTTTCAATCCCTGATGCCCGTTTGTGAGATGAGGTCGTTATCTAGGATTATAGAAACAGTGAGTGGCTTGGGCTAGTTTTATCTCTGATCTAACTGGACAAAATGAAAACCAATTCTTGAGCCTCACTCTCATCAGCTTCATGGTCTAATTAACGAGATTTTTGGTCCTTCTATAAAAACAGTAATGTTCTCTTTCAAGGATGTGCCAGAGATGGAAGAGATGAAATAATTCTGAACAGGTAGTAGTCTAACTAATGATTATCTGACTTACTGTGCATTTGATAGTATTTTGGGGTCATAGTTCTTTACAGGATGCCCTCTAGGTTAGTGGAAATTATTCAAGTATTAGAATTAAGTTAGCTGAGACTCAAAATCTGTTACCTCCTGGTTTATGTGACCTTGCACAAATTACTTAGGTATCTCTGATCTTTGGTTTCTTTGTCTATAACAAGAGATTAAGAATAGCACCTATTTCATGGGGGTGTCAGAAGGATGAAATTCATCTATATAAAGCTCAAGTTATCACCTAATAACCAACTATTTTATATTTTTGTCATAAACACCTTTTCAAAAGTCATTCCCTTTGCACCTTTTATAGCATGAGAAGCTGATACATGAACTGGAAGAGGAGAGACACTTGCGTCTTCAGAGCGAGAAGCGGTTGCAGGAGGTGACCCTAGAGTCTGAGCGTAACAGAATTCAGATGCGTGGCTTGCAGCAGCAGTTCTCCAGGTATTGTTCTTAACTGAGCAGATTGCTTCCTGAGGTGCATCTCTCTCTCTCTACCAACAACACCTTGGATTGAATGTCCATTGCGTAAGCTTCTGTTGTGTTTGATGAGCTAATTTACCAACTGTTTAGAACTTCTGTTCTGACCAAACCATCCTGTCACATCCAGACCAATTTTCTGAAACTTTCCATTTGCACCTGACATGATCTTCATTGAAACTGGTTGTCTTTTCTTCCCTGATGGCTTCCCCAAGGGTCTTTAAGTAAGTTGTCATGGCTTTGCAGCCATTAGGCATGTCCTTTAGAAGGCCAGGCCAGAGGGTGAGAGTTCACTGGTCATCATAATCCTACTTTAAGACAAAGAGAGTGTGAATCTAATGATTCAATAAGCTCTTCCTTATTGCTTAAACACTAAGGAGTGGTAGTAAAGCAAAAAAAAAGAAAAGAAAAACCAGTGAGTTCCTGTTGTAAAAAAAGGTGTCACTAGAATTTGGCCAAGCTCAGTGGCTCACACCTGTAATTCCTGGACTTTGGAAGCCTGAGGTGGGGGGGATCACTTGAGGTCAGGAGTTCAAAATCAGCCTGGACAACATGGTGAAGCCCCGTCTCTTCTAAAAATATGAAAATTAGCTAGACGGGCTGGTGGGCACCTATAATCTCAGCTACTCAGGAGGCTGAGACGGAAGAATCACTTGAACCTGGGAAGTGGAGTTTGCAGTGAGCCAAGATTGCATCACTGCACTACTCCAGCCTGGGTGACAAAGTGAGATTTCATTTAAACAAACAACAAACAAATAGATCACTAGAATTTGAAAGGAAGATTCTGAAAAAGAAGCTCCTAGATTTAATTCTAGCAGTTGGAATCTTTGAGTTTTCAATTATATTTAATATGAGGGCAGGTGATGTTTCAAACTATTATGTTGAAATCATTTCAGTTCCATGGGAGGAACCCCCCAGAAACTTGTGCATTTACAGCTCTGGGACCGGATACAGGCATCTTGTGCAGGACAATCGGCATTCATTTCTATATTTCACCATTTATAAAATCAGGAAAATAACGAGTCTTATTTTTCTCTCCTGAGATTATCCCAGGCAGTATCCATGTTTGAGAAGTTGCCCTAAAATCCTCATGAGCAAACTGTGTGGGTCTTGTCCTTAACTTTTTACTGGGATTTGGAGAACATTGTGACTGGTGATAAATAATATCGCTTTCCCATTATGAAGTTTTTATAATGACAGCTTAATTTTTGGATGTGTTGCAGGGAGAGAACAAACACAGTTGAGCCTCCAGATAATTTACCTAATTATGGCCAATACTGTGCATGTGCTTCAACTTTGGTGTAGGGGTTTGTAGAGGAAACAAACCCTGTTTCCTCCACAAACTCCTGTTTCCTCTGCAAACCCCTACACCAAAGTTGAAGGGGAAGGATGGATGACTCCTGTGTGGTCAGTATTATAATTTAACACTGTTCAACTCCTCAAGCCCATGATAATACACAGGTGCTGTAGAAATGCACCAATCAATACTTTAATAAATGCATGTCACCCCTTACAGGCTGTTACATATATCGCCTTATGCTTGATTTTTCATTCAGTTTGATGGCAACTCTCCCTTTGTGTCGACCAACTAACTTGAAATAATAGATCCACCCCTCCAAAGTGACTTTAAAACAAACACCGCTTTGTAATATTGGTTGTTTTAATGACATGGGAAAGGAGGAAGCAGATATTGCTCTCCTTGCACTGTCTAATTGAGACGTCTCTATATTCAAGCTATTGATTTAGGTGGCAGGAGACACGTGGCATAGTAAATTATATTCATATGATGCCAGGTCATCTGTAAATCAGATGCCAATTCCATACAGATTTAAGTTACACAAGACAAGACTGCATCCTAGGCTGAATGAGAAGATCATTATGTACACAATAAATAGTGGTGGGTTTTTGCATACTTCTTTTGTGAAGGCTTTTTTCCCTACCATAATCAGTTTTCTTGTGTAAAGCGTCATTGAAACTGAAAAGTTCAAGTCCAGTTACAGCCAGAGAACTAACGTAAATCAGCAAAAGATGGGAAAAGCATATGTAACAGATAATTATATAACAATTTGAGTAGATGCACTGAACCATTCATTTCTGATGGCCTTTTACAGTTTAAACTTTGGTTTTTAAGGTATTTCTAGTTATGTTTAATCTTATTAATTTAAATCTTTGAAAAATTCTCAGTATTATAGAATAAGCTTATATTGCATCATCCTTGGACAGGGTTAGCATCCAATATGGTCATCTAAGTAATAATTTACATAATATGAATTATTCTATTGAATTAGAAACATTTGTATTCATAATTTTCTTTTTTCTCTTGAGTTGATGAGTTCATTTTGTGCATAATGATATCTGGGATGTAGAATTACTTTTGAACATTGTTCATGGGCTGAGGCTGCTTTTGAAAATTAAGCTAGGCCAGGTGTGGTGGCTCACGCCTGTAACCCCAGCAGTTTGGGAGGCTGAGGTGGGTGGATCACCAGAGGTCAGGATTTTGAGACCAGCCTGACCAACATGGAGAAACTTCATCTCTACTATAAATACAAAAAGAAAAAAAAATAGCCAGGCATGGTGGTGCATGCCTGTAATCCCAGCTACTCAGGAGACTGAGGCAGGAGAATCACTTGAACCCGGGAGGCGGAGGTTGCAGTGAGCTGAAATTGCGCCACTACGCTCCCAGCCTGTGCAAGGAGAGTGAAACTCCGTCTCAACTAAATAAATAAGCTAATAATAATAACCACATTCTCAAAGAATGTGGTGATTAGAATGTGTGGCTTACAATAAAAAGGTAGATTTACAATAAGGCCAATAAAATAAAAACCGAAAATAAAGGTCATGAAAGGAGAATGTGACAAGTTACCGCCTTCATACCTTCTCATAGCCCAACAAGTTTTTTGAGTATGAGCCTTTAATTTAGCTCCAAGATTCCTGGCAGACAAGATCAAAAGGAAAAAAGAACAAGTAATATGTAGTTATTATCTCATAGCCAAAGGCTGCTACTCCTTAAAGAGAGGAATATTATCTCTGTTAATAAATTCATAATAGAATATATCACATAGACCACTTCATAGAAGATACTGAAGGATACAGTAGACATGGCCCCAAATGGCGCAAATTAGGATTAGTTCTTGCAAGGGCTACTACTTTCACTATGTCGCTTATATCTGAAAAGGTAAGCCATTTTTCAATTTCCTAATATATGGAATAAGAATGCTGGGTTCATGTCTAAGAGATCATAAGTGAAATAAGAACTACGCAGGTGCTTGAAGTTCTCAAGTCAAACATTAAACTTCAGATTCCTGGGAACCTCCAAATATATACATGTGCCTTTCTAACACAATTAATGTGGGAGACAGAGACATAAGATGCTGAGGCCTGGCCTGGGCTGGGTGGCATGTTTTCTTGGTATGTTTGATGGCCTTGTAGGCATGGAAGCCTCTAGACACTAGTTACGGGATCCCAAGTCTCAGCTTCCGTAACAAGGTGAGGCAATGGAGGGAGGAGTGGATAATAAAGTTAGATGCTGGGACAGTTAAGTACACCTGGAAAGTGGAGTTCAGGTGTCAGGATGAGTGATTCAGGAGAAGTAGTCCAAGGCTTAGTTTTATGAGTTTCAGCTGTGTGATGAGCCTGACGGCTTGAAGGCACCAGGCAAGCCTGAACGTTTGTGATTGTCTCTATTAATGAGTAATGGGATCACTTAGGTGATAAAAATCTATACAAATGCTTCAATGAGTAGTTCTTTTTTATATCACCACCAAACCTTCTGCCACAATCCTTTCTTCCCTCTTGACCTCTGATTAGGCTATAATGATCAGAAATGGTCCAAAGTTTAGGCAATAAAAAAAAATTGGATATGCCGCCAGAGGTTACCTACTCAGCTCTAAGCTCATAAATCAGAAATTGCCTGCATTGAGGGTGATTCAGACAGGCGTAACAAACTTGGTTCAGGCCATTTAAATTCTTTAATGTAAATATGGAGAAACATAAGGTACTTGCAAATTAAGCCTTCTTCACAGTTGAGAGAGCACTTCAGTAAGGTGGTAGTTAGAGGCAGGTTGGTGGTATCGTAGAGCTGCCGCTTTATCGTATTATTTAGTGATATAAATCAAAGGTGCTTTTCAGATGTGATAATGATCGTTTAACCCATTGTCTTTTTGGCTGGGCATATTTTATGAGGGATTAGCTTTGTAACTACCTAAAATTCCAAATTCTCCCCACTCCTCTGTTTGTTTGAATTGTGATTGTCCAGCCAGCCAAGGTGAATGCTGTAGATGAGACTATGGAACTGTCTTCCCTTGTATGTAAAGATAATCAGTGTTTGGACCCCTGGATTTATTATCCACATTGAGGTAATGAAGTGTTTGTGTGTCAGTTAGATTCACCCAGAGGAGCATTTTCAGGAATATTGTCTCCGAGCAAGGTGGGGTACGCTGAGTTGAAATAACAGTGATTTACCAAAGGAAAAAAAAAAAAAAGACCAGGTGCGGTGGCTCACTCCTGTAATCTCAGCAGTTTGGGAGGCCGAGGCAGGTGGATCACAAGAGATCGAGACCATCCTGGCCAACATGGTGAAACCCCATCTCTACTAAAAATACAAAAAATTAGCTGGGCGTGGTGGCGCGTGCCTGTAGTCCTAGCTACTCAGGAGGCTGAGGCAGGAGAATTGCTTGAACCCAGGAGGCAGGGATTGCAGTGAGCCAAGGTCGTGCCACTGCACTCCAGCCTGGTGCCTGGTGATGGAGTGAGACTCTGGGAGTGAGACTCTGTCTCAAAAAAAAAAAAAGAATAATGGGATCACTTAGGTGATAAAGTGAGGAGATAAGCAACTCTGCAGAGTACGGATTTGGCATATGTAGTTGTGCGTACCATGCATGATTTGCACAGTTATCTGAGTTTGTCCCTTTGCAAATAATCTATTCAATTTGTAGATGATGACGATGATGATGATGATGATGATG